TACCCCCCCCCCCCCCCCCCCAAAAAAAATTTCACTCGTAGGTAGGATAGGATTGCCCAAAAGATCAAGAATCCCTTGTATCATTAAGCTAAAACATTCGTTTTTTAGTCTCAGTACAATGGCCATGGAACTTAAAGTGAAAAAAAAAAAAAAAAACTACATCTCGGATATTTGAGCAACGTTAAAATTAAAAAAATAAAAAATAAAAAATAATACACCTATTGTCAGAATCCAGGGATATTCCGCCTCTAAAATAATGATCTAATACACTCATACTTGGTCATTGAAAGAAAAGTGAATGATACAACATTCAGGAAACACTGCAAAATCGCAGAGACTGGTGTATTAGAGCCCATTTTTTAAGCATTAAGCAGCTTAAATGGGTCAGGAATTTTCAGTATATTGCTTCAATATTTTCCAGCTTCCGGAACAAATTGCAATCTACTCTGCTGTGCCATTTGTATCATCTCCTTCAGCCAATTGCTTTTGCTTCTCTTGTTCCACTGTATAAAACAAAAAATCCTTTATAAAGACTCCAAATTCATTAGAAGGCACACAAGTAATTCAGATGAAGGCGTCGTTACAGAATCCGATGATAGAAAAACTAGAGCAGTTGCCTAATCCAACTAAACAGAATATAGACAAATAATCTGCATACATATGGACAGCAGAAACTAAAGACCCTATGAGATTTGAAAATGCTGAAAATAATAATATTAGTGGTTATATGTCTTTATAAGATTCATATAGTACCTAACTGGCAGATTGGGGTCAATGAGCTGACAAGCACGGAAACAGAATAGAATGTGGCGGTAGGGTTTGGACCCCAATTTGGGTATAATGGGAATGGGAAGGTTAGGTCACACAAAACGCAATCCTGTCAATGAACCAGGTTGGGCTGGGTCCGGTTATTATTTGACTATCCCGACACTTATCCATATGAAGATTAGGTTTGTATTTTTGAATCCAAACTAAACTGTTTATCTAACCAAAACCCATTCATTTTCTGCCTGTTAGTTTGGGACCCGACTTCACTTTCAAGTGAGAGGGCTCTATTTTATTATATAAGAATGGATTAATAATATTACATACCATTATAAAAAATTACACGGACTGCCATTTGTTGCATTCTCTCATTGAAGGAGGAGCTGCATGGAATGGCACATTGCATTCCATATCAGCTGCCTACTTGACCAAAACTCCATGTATTTAGTTTTAATATCTTTTGGTAAATTGTTTTAACAATAGTGCTAATTTAGTCAAGCTACCATTATGATTCACAATTCAAAAGTTAACTTGGTGATTAAAATTTGAATTGTGATTTGATAGACTTGGTTTAAACATGGAATAATTGTACATTTCTCTCTAGAAATGCAAAAGAAATATAGACCATAATATAATCAGTTGAGGCAAAAATGTTTCATTTTAGTCTTTTAAGTTAGTCTCAACTCGTATGAGTAATTTTTGTTCCTACTCCCAAAAATTTTATGTTTTATGTCATCAACTTTGTCCTAAACACCAACTCTGTTTCATGGACTAGCCAAAATTGCGAATATGAAACACAAATGGCATCAGTGGCAAGAACTTGACAGATGAACATTTACTCAACCTACTTGGCAAAAAAGTAAAATAAAAGACAACAATTGTATTTCTCTTCTTCCTGATGTCTTTCTCTTCCATAATCTCTAGCTAGTTTTGAAGACCAAAATAGTCTCTAATCTATTAAGACCAGTAGCCCACCCACTGATCCACCATTTTGCTAAATATCTCAACCCACACTAAAGGCCAAGTAAAAAAATGCCCAGAAGTGAACTAGAAACTATTTCTTAAATGTGGCCAATGCCTTTGAAAAGATAAAAATTGCGGGGAAGAAAATGAAAAAAAGAAAAAGGGCATCATTTACTGTTTAGAACTATGACTCAAAATATCATCAGTCAACTGCTTATCACGCACTTGAATGTCACAAACAAACAATCTCTATTAACCCGTCAATAGGAATTAGCATTTAGGGCAAAGCTGACAAGACAGATAAATTATACAGGGCAAAAGGAAAAAACTCGAAGCAAAATCAAGGGACAAATAATATTTTTTTTCGTCATCAATTACCAAACATTGGATAAAAGATTCATTCCATGAAATAAGGTGTCGACAATTAGCATAACCAAGAGAAAATACCCATAATCATTCAGCATATAACAGATATTAAAAAAAGAGATAAATATATACAAACATACCCATGAGTTGATAGAGAGCCTTCTGAGTTCGCTTCTCGAGCTTATCAAGCTTCTTCTGCACGTCTCTCCGCAGGTCCCAGTTAGGTTTCTTGGGCGCAATATTCAGAAACGGATCCTAAATTTTTTAAACAAACATTAGAGAAAATGAGTTACCAAACGGCGAAAGCAACAATAACAGCATCAGTAGTACCTCTTTGGCCTCAGGTTCGGGCGGAGGCACAGCTTCGCTAGCGTCTTCGAACTTTGGGAGCACCGCGGGAGCAAGCTTCCCTTCCTGAAGGTGCTTGTCGTGAGGAACGTAGTTACGGAACTTCATTCTGCAACAGCACAATTTCAATAATCCATGGAAATGAGAATTGGTAATGGTGAGAGTTAGGGTTTGAAAGAAAGGGAAAAGGCTCACTCTAGTTGTTGATCTTCTTCGTCGTCATTTTGCTTAGGTTCAGGTTCGGAATCAGGTTCGGGAGCACTGGACAACTCCTGAGCTGCTCTGAGAGCAAGCAATCTTTCGCGACGGGACGCGACGGATTGCTCAATCGAATCCTCTTCGCTACCCATTTTTCTTTCCCCTCAAAATCAAATTCTCGCTCTTCTAACTCTCTTATATACACAAACCCAATTACAATTAATAATATAATTTTAATTATGAATAATTTATTTTAGAGTTATTAAATAAAATATAAGAAGGTACAAATTAGAAGAGACAAATAATTAAAAAAAAATGATAAATTGATATAATTGAAAGATTTTTTAATTAGTTGTGAAAGAAATGGGTGAAATACATGACTAAAAGAAAAAAATTAAAAATATTTAATAATACAGAAAAAAAAAAAAATATAT